CCGGCCTCGCGCTCACAGCCTTCGGCCGTAGGGACGCTGCCCGACCGCGGGGTCCCGGGGTCCTCGTTTCTGACTGGTCAGAGGGGAGCTTTAAGGATTCATCGAACTATGTTTTAAAGTCGTTGTGCGTCCGTAGCTTCGGCGCTTGCTTTTCATTTCCTTTATTCTTTGTTCTCATAAGGACCCCGCGCTGGGCGCCGCAGTCCCGCGCTGGGGCCAGACTCTGAGCACCTGGACAGAAACCCCGTCGTTTTTTCTTTTTGTTTTTGTTTTTGTTTTCATTTAATTGAACAATTAAAGGTTGATTATGAAATTGCTTGTAGTGCCGTTTTTTAAATGCAGGAACCGTTCGCAGAGCCAGGCATCAAACATAGTTCCTCCTAAAACATTACCTGCCAAGTAATTCTGTACCAACGCCTGCCAGGGCCAGAAAATGGGGAGTTCAAGGGCTTCCTTGTTGTTGCAACTTATACGTTGTGTCTCCAGTGCTACCTGATGTCTCGGTTCCTATTAGGGCTGCGGGTTCACCGTTTCCCTTGCTTGCTCCGTGGACTCTGTCCCTGCTCCGTGTGCTTCCCACCTCCCTCCACACTAGCGACCTTGACGGTGGGTCACTGGCTGCATTTAGGGCAGATCAAATAGCAGGAAACCTGATGACTCCTAGAGCTCTGATCACTTGTGAAATCCTGTAGTCGAAGCCTTTACTTCTCAATATGAATCAGAATAGATTAGACCAGTTTAAAAAATCAGGTGCTAGGACTGAGCGGTGCCAACACGCATCCCCAGTACAGACTTCATAAAAACCTGAAGCGAGGCCCTGACTGACTCTTTACTGACTAGCTAGTGCTAACTAGCTAACTAGCTCAGGCTTTTTAGCGGCTATGTGCTTTCTTAATTCATTATTGCCTTCTTGCCTTCCCCTGCCTTTTTAAAATCATGACTTTTATGGTTCAAATACACAATTTAAAAGAACTCGTATATAGAAGTTTGTAATCCCTCCTCTCACTCCTCGCCCCTCCTCCGGTCCCCTTCATTCTCACTCTCTCACCATCATGGGAATAATGGGATTTTCGAGGTTAAAGTTAAAGCCATTATGTCATCCAGAGAAGTTATCTTGGTTACTCTTAACACCCAGCAAAAATAATATTTAGAAAGACTTATTCTGGGAAGTTTAGAACTATTAAAGATAAAATCGAGCTGGAGTTTGGTTTAAGTCTATATTTCCAAGTAATAATTTATGAACAAGTCTAAATAAAAATCTGAATTTTTTAATTGATTTTTAGTACTTAAGAGCTAAATAAAATTATTCTCTTTTGTCACTTTAAACACTATAACTGGAGGGGAAACATGCTTTAACTCCCCCCTACCCCCATTTCTAGAACTACTGGGTCAAACGTGACTACAGCCGCCAAGGGACACGAGAGGGTTGTTGAAGATTTGACGTTTTAAAGTCAAGTTCCAATTTAAAATTAGACTTAGGAACTTTAAAAGACATAAAAGACTTAATTGATAAAAATAAAGTTTCTTATCTTCATTGCCATATCTTTTTCTAAGCTTGAAAACGACAGAACGCAAAATGCTTTTTAAGTCACTACTTTCAGCTTTTCAGGGTGACAAAGTATGTGTATATTTTGTGTGTGGGGGGGTCATGTTACATTGAAGCAAATTGTAGGTGTATACACATGACATGTGTATGCACACATCCTAAAAGTAGTCTAGATGAGCCTCGTGTCTGTCTACAGTATGTGCAACTACTTAAAGGAACTTTCTGTATGACGCTGACCCAATTGCGAACTAATCAGAGTCTTGGAGAGAAAAGAGGAACAAACAAGTGTCAAGTATCAGACATTTTGTGCTGATTCTCAAAAAGATTTGTGTATCCTACACCAGTAGTGGAGAAGTTAAGGTTCTGAGAGAAGTGGATGCTGACCGATGAGAACTCTCTGGGAACAGAGAAGAATGTGTTTATCTGAGAAAGAGTAGCAACGGCAACAAGCACAGGCACGAGTTCAGGTTCATCGGCTACTTCCGATGTCTCAGTGGCTGTGTTCTCTTTCTGTGGGAGGCGGGGAGCCTAGTGTCCTGGCGGCGGGGCCCTTCTGAGGACTGGATGAAAGCAAACGGGTAGTTCAGTTCCAGAGCCCACTCCACACTTTCCTGCCTTTCGACAGCCGGAAGTGGCATATTCCCAAGTGGGCACGAGCGTGCCTTAAACATCTGGGCCATCTACCACGCAGCGGAGGGAAGGGGTCGTTCTTACTAACAGAAACCCTAAAGCAAGGATCACCAGTGTCAATTTTGTCTCCTGGGAGCTTCGTGACAAAAGGATCTGCTTTCTCTCCAAAGACTAGTGGTACTTTTTAGAGAGGAAGACTCCAGGCATTCATGTAGTGTAAAAATGGGCATTTCTAGGCAAAGCGTTCCCGTTCCGAGTGGCCTTTCCCTCAGTCGCCACATGCCCAGGGGCCTAAGAGCACATGGAGAAACGAAGCCCATCGGACCCATGTGGACAGATGGACCTTGAAATTTGCCTGGCTCTCGGCCTGGACCCATTAATTCTTTTCTAGCTTATTGCCCCGGAATGTCTCTCTGCTTAGTGTCTCTTGTTTTTGTTGTCTGCGACCGAAACCCAAAATTATAGAAATCTGCCCAATGAAATTCCATTCTCGTGTAAGGAAGTCTTAACGCAAGAGGAAAAGAGGCAAATGACGGCCCCTCCCGTTGGCAGCGTCCGGCTCTGCTGTCCTGTGGCCCACGCTTCCCGTCCTCGCCGTTTGCACTCAGCTGCTCTTAGCAAAACAGTTCCGAGATACTCGAACCTCCCGGGGGAGGGGACAGGGTTCTTTCCCATCTCGCATGGGTGGCTTCGCGTACTCATGTTCTGCAGGGATGTTGGAACCTTGCCTTCCTGTCTGAAGATGACTAGGCAGCGATGCTGATTTGTGGGTGCCGAGTCCCTCTGAAAATCTCCCAACTGCAGATGTGTAAGGGCCGTGCGGACACTGGTTTCGTCCTCGTGTGAATGGTCTAAGCGCTCTCCAAAGCGTGGGTCCTTGAGCCGTCTCTCTTTCCTCAGAATGTATGCGTCATCCAAACATAATGAACACTTTCAGGCTATTGCTACCACGACAGTGGCCGAGCTTATTGTCCAGTATCATTTTGATTTGCAAAAAAGGAGTTGCACCTTCAACACGGACTTTAAAAGTTGGCAGCGCATCGAAGCTCAAGCAACCAGAATGAAATATTTTAACACCACATAGTCGATTTCTTTTTAACGTAAAGTATATCTCGATGTTTCCCTTTACTCCCCCAATATTGGGAATGGTCGAATGTGACAGGAAAGCAAGCGCACTTGCGAGGCGACCACGGCAGATCGATTTCACACTGAGGTGTGCCCCTCGCTGGCTTCCTTCTCACCGAGATCATCATCATCCTTTTTACCAAAAGGGACGTGATCTCGATGTTGGCTGGGGAAAGGAAAACAGAGATAGTGTACGAGAGCTCATGGGTCCCTCGCCAGCTGTATGGATCCCGTGTGAGAGGTCGTGTCCACCTCAGACTCCAGGCGCTGGCACCTTGTAATTCGTTAGTTTTCGTCCATCTAACCACCTGGTTTCCCTAGGGGGTTAGGAAATGGCTTCAGGCTTCTTTGGAAACATTTTACTCTCTAGCATTCAGATTAAGGAGGAGATACGGTAAGTGTTCTCTCTTCCACGCACACCCCCCTGTGAAAAAAGGGTGGCTTCTTCCCACCTCGGTAACCCCTCCTGGCTGATCCCTTCCCACCTGGCATCTACTGTCCCCTGGACTGGCAGGCAGCCTCTCCCGCCGTCTCACCTGACAGCTCCCCAGAGGGCTCAGGGGAGGCCTGACCACTCCGCAGCCCAGGTCGCTAGCTGCCTCACAGCTTGGCCTGTGAGAGGGAATGCAGGTCCCAGGCCTGGCAGCACAGACCCTTCCTGCTCTGCCCTCTGCGCGGTCTCCCAGCCCCACTTCTGTGTGCACCGGGCCTCCTGGCCGTACCCGACACTCAGACTGCTCCAGGCTTCCGGCCGCCATCTGCATCCCCCTTTGCCTGAGTCCCCCCATCTTTCAAGGTTAGACCCCACCCCATCGCACGCCCCATCAGACACCTACTACATTGTGTGTGTGGCATTTTGGTGCCAAAAATCTTTTTTATTTTTCCCATTTATTTTTAAGTCTCCTAACCCTATAGGTTTGTGTTCTTGTTTGCTTGGGATACTGAAATTCTGTAGCCAT